TGGGTATGAACGCAAAAGACTTGAGAACAGGGACTCAAATAGAAACTTGTACACCAACGTTCATAACAGCACTATTCTCAACAGCCAAAAGGTGGAAACATCCCAAGTGTCTGTCAGTGGATGAATGAATAAAACGCGGCCCATCCATACAATGGAATACTACTCGGCCATAAAGAGAACTGAGGTCCTGATACATGTTACAAAATGGATGAACCTTGAAAAGATGCTGAGTGACACAAGTCAAATACAAAAGGACAAATATTGGAGGATCTCGCTTGGAGAAAGTATCTAGAATAGGCAAATGTACTGAGACAGAAGCAGATCAGTGGTTACCAGGGGCTGGGGAGAGAGGGAAATGGAAAGTTAAAAAAAAAAAAAAAGGCACTCCTACAGCAGGACCCCTGACCTCAGGCAGAAGCCTTTCTCCTGCACCTGCCCCTACCTCATCTGTGCCTCACATTCTGCTCTTCCCAGGCAAAGGACAGGGGGTCCTGGGCCTGTAGCGTGGCGATCAGGCTGAGCATGATGGTCAAGAATAGGGTCTGCATCTTTGAGGATCTGTGTTCACAGCGTCGCAGCTCATGAGGTGCTTTGACGAGGCTGCACAGCTCCGTGCATAACTTCCCTTTATACCCCTGGGCTCCTGAGTCTTGAGCACTTGGCGCAGAAGGCTGATCACCTCCTTCCCCCCACGGTCATGTCCAATTCTCCATTGGGGAAGGTGCAATGTCATTATTATTGGAATCTGATGAATAACAACTAAATACCACCCCGAGAACAAAAGATGCAGAATGCTGGCCGTGTTTGCACCACCCAAGGGTGCCCGCTCACCGATAAGCCTATCTGGAAGGAGGGTGTTATCAGCACGAGAGAGTGGGCATTTGCACTCAGAACCACAGAGGGAGAGAGTGAATGGCTCCCTCGCATTCTTTCCCAACCCAGCACCTTCTCCGGTACCCTTGGCCTGGGATGTCTGCAAGTTCTCAAACCAGAGGTCTCACACTTCTACTTACCAAGAACTGGGCTTCAGAACTGGAGGGGGAGTTGCAATTAGCTGAATCCTGAATCCAACACCTGTTTACTTAACCTGTTAAGATTAGAATTAGGGCTCCAAAGAGCTCAGCCTCTTACCTCTCGCAGATGACCCCTTACACCTGCTCTACCCATGCCTGGGAGACTCCACCTTAGATCTTCCTGGAGTCTGGGGCACTATTTTATGTCTCAGGCTCAGTTTGAATATCTTCCCCTCAGAGTGGCCTCCCTAGTCGTCACCTGGAAACAATATCATCTCCCTTGCCCCACTTTGGTCTGTATGATTGATTATCTTGCATATCTTGTTTATGTCTTTGTATGTGTGTTCATTGACCATCTCCTGTCAGAATCTAAGCTTTCCATAAGGGGGAGTTGATTCTTGGTGTTCACAAGTTTATTACCACTGTAAGGAAGAATTCCAGCCCTATGTTAGGTGGTCATTAAGTATTTGTCGACTAAAGGAGTAAATGAAGTTATTTAGTCCCTTTAAATCTCAGATAATTCCTCTCTAACAAGGGGACTAATAAATTCTGTTGCTTGGATTATTGTGAAGATATGTTGACATAACATGAGAAGGATTATTGAGAGGATATGTTGAGATAACATAAGAAGGATTATTGTAAGGATATGTTGAGATAACACGAGAAGGATATTTGTGAGGCTACATGGAGATAATCTGTGAAGTCTGTAGGATTCCCTGGCATGTAGGAGGCTCAACAAACGTGGGTTTTCTCTGCAGTTCTTCCGTGGAATGGGACTCAGGGACCAGGCTGCTTCACAGCCCTATCACCAACACATATGTGAGTAACTCCCTTAACCTCTCTTGCTCTAGAACCCCAACTTC